ATGGTGGAGTGATCACCACAGGGACAAGAGATGGCCACGTCCAGTTCTGGACAGCCCCTCGGGTCCTCTCATCACTGAAGCACTTGTGCTGGAAAGCTCTCCGTAGTTTCCTGACAACTTACCAAGTCCTCGCACTGCCAATACCCAAGAGTTCCTCACATACAGGACTTTCTAAGCAATGCTGCTCAGAGGCTTAAGGTGCTCTTTCTCGCAGGCTAAGGCCTCCTGGCTGAAAGTAGCTGGAATAGTGGGCCAGGCATCTGGTCTAGGGTTGAAACACAAATTCTGTTTGGGATTGTGACTAGAATGTAGCAAAACCAGATGCCAGCGGATCAATCCTGCCTGAGTTTTTCTCTCTGACCTGTGAAAGGTAGTCCTGGAGTAGATTCCAGCCCCCTAAGTCTGAGTCCACTCACACACAGCAACGCTGGACTCTTTCTTATCCTTTTGATTCTAAGTGCAGTTATTGATGTTGTTCTGATAATAAAGTAACGGCCCAGTAGCCTCTCTGTAGTGGCAGAGTTTAAGTTCCCTCATCAGGAAAGGATGACTTCTGCCCTGGTCAATGCTGCCATTCTCAAGTACAGCAGGAACTGTAAACAAGTTAAACACATTCTGTCCTGCTGTGGTCAGCTGCTTTCCTATTGACCAGTGCTTTCCTTTCTCTGGCGTCCCCCTGACCAACAGACCACAGGATTCAGGGAGCCGTTTGGTGTATTAGCTGAAATAATTACAGGTGAATCATGGGGTGTGCTCTTGCCTGATAAAGACACTATTACTACCTCTTAACAGTGGTGTGCATGTGCAAGGTTTAACACATTTGTGTAAGATTACAAAAGGATGTATTCTCAACTGCATGCCCTTTAAATGGCTGCTGACCTTTCAGTTGTTTGCTATTAATTAGCATATTTATTTGTATTTTCTCAACAGATGTTAAGGTACAACTGTGTTGTTTTCAATGATATCTAAAAACCAGAGTCCTGAAGGCCAAAAAAAAGAAGATGGAAGGGATATATAAAATCACTGTATTAAAAATAATCAGTTAATGCTCAACCATTTCAGGAGGTAGCATATGACCAATAACCAATGAGTATCAACTAAGAAGTTCAAGCTGCACTGCAGGCATTAGAACAAAGCTCCAGGAATTGACAGAATTATCAACAGAGTTGTTTCCACAAACTGATTAAGCACAGCAAGCACTCACTAGTCTATACCAAGAAACTTAGAAGACAGCTACCTGAAAACCAATGGGAGAGATCCATAGAATCTCCCATTACAAAGAAAGGTGACCCTACAGGATGTAAATGTTATTGAACAATATCATTTTATCATATACAAGTAAAATTTTGTTGATGATCTATCAAAAACTGTTATACCTGAACAAGAAGTTTTTGGAAATTCAAGCTTGATTCAGAAAACAATGAAGAACAATGTCAGATGGATCTTGGCTGAAACCAAAGAATATCACAAAGATGTTTATTTGACACTTAATGACTATACAGTGGCATTTGACTGTGAATTATTACAAATTACAGATAACACTAAGAAGCTCTAGTAGCATAGTGGTTACGAATCTGGCTGTTCACCGCAAGGTCAGCAGTCTGAAACTACCAGCCATTCTGCAGGAGAAAGACGAGGCTTTCTACCCCTGTAAAGATTTACAGCCTCGGAAACGCTGTGCAGGGTCGCTATGAGTCAGAACTGACTCCACAGCACACAACAACAACAACATAGATAACACTAAAAACAACAGGAATTCCAGTACACTTCATTGTGCACAGGAGAAATCTGTACATAGACCAAGAGGCGGTTGTTCAAACAGAACAAGGGATATTGAATGGTTCAAAACCAGGGTTGTATCCTTCCACCATAGTTATTCAAAGCAAGTAGTTGGAGAAGCTGGATTATATGAAGAATGGAGCATGAGGACTGCAAGAAGATTCATTAACAACTTCCAATATGTAGATGACACAACCTTGCTTGTTGAAAGTGAAGAGGACCTGAAGCACTTACTGATTAAGAGAAAAGAACAGAGAGCCTTCAGTATGAATTACAACTGAAGGTTAAGAAAACAGAAGTCCTCACAATTGGACCAAATAAACAATAATATGATAAATGGAGAAAAGATTGATGTTGTCAAGGATCTCAGTTTACTTAGATCCATAATCAATGCTCATGGAAACAGTATTTTTAGTTGTCTCAGATGCATGTGAAAGCTGCCAGAAGAACAAACAAATCTGTCTTAAAAGAAATACAGTCAGAAAGCCCCTTAGAAGTGAGGCTGGCAAGACTTGATCTCACTTACGGTGCACATGTTATCAGCAGGGACCAGTCCTTGGACAAGAACATCATGTTTGATAAAGTAGAGAGTCGTCAAAAAAGAGGAACACCCTCAACAAGATGGACTGACACAGTAACTGCAACCCATGTTGGACTCAAACATAACAATTTTGAGGAAGGTACAGGACTGAGCAGTGTTTTGTTCTGTTGTGCACAGGGTCACTATGAGTTGGAGCTGACTTGATGGGACCCAACAACAAACAGTTTACCCAATAAAACCCCATAAATGTGAGTACTGCCTTTGAATTCTGTGTGGCCGTTGCAATGGATTATTGAACCCAGCAGAGAAGTAGATTTTTGTTGGAAGGATGGTGGTGTCAGAATAGGATAAATGAAGTCAGAGGGTGGAGTCATGTCTCACCCCCACCTCATAGGAATCAGCCTTGAGCTGATGTGAAATTTGATTCTCCTTCTTCCTAGTGTTACCGGAGCAAGTCAGACACTGTTTCCATGTCATTTTTGTAAATCTTTACAAAAGCAGGCTGCCACATCCTTCTCCCATAGAGAAACTGGTGGGTATGAATGCTAACCTTTTTGTTAGTAGTCAGCACTTAACCACAGTGCCACCAAAGCTTCTTACAAAGTAAGTTGTTGTTGTTGGGTACCATTGAGTCGGGTACTGACTCAGCGACCCTGTGTACAACAGAACAAAATACTGTCCGGTCCTGGGCCAACCTCACAATCGTTGCTACACTTGAGCCCACTGATGCTGCCACATTGCCAATCCATCTCACCAGAGGTTTCTTCTTTTTCTCTGACCCTCCACCACAAACAAAACCAAGTTACCAAGTTGAATTTGAATTTCAAATAAACAAAAAATATGTTTAAGTATAAATATGTACCATGTTCCATTTATTTGCCAAGTCTAAAGATAAGCACTAAATAAGTTTGCTGAATAAATGAATAATTTTTGCATTTATGTTTTCAGGACAGTGAACTTTATTTCATTATAATTGCAGTTATTTGTTTTTGTGCCTCTCTCCTTCATGATATAAAGAAACTTCCTGAGGGCATGAACTATGTCTTCTTTATTCCTTTACCCCTTAAGCTTTACATAAGAGTAGACATCAATAATTGTTTTTTTTCAAAATACATAAAGTAAGGGGCTGTGTGCTGACGGCCGGGGAGCAGGAGTGTGGGGTGTACCCTTTGGGTGTTTGATGATGCATGCAGGAGATTGTGATCATTGCAATGAAACAAAGTATGATAGGATGAATGTACAGATAATGTTCACCCATGTAAACTAACACATAATTCACACAAAAAATACATAAAATACAAGCACTAATAAATGAGTTACAGAGTGTCTCTACCATGACTTCCCATCCTTCATGCATCAAAGGATAGATTTCTAGGAAAAGTCAAAGAGGGGAGGAGCCCACCCTCATCACTTTTTATGGTAACAGTCTACTGTTACTTCCACTATTTTCCTTAATGGTGGTTGTGGTTATGTGCCATGGAGTCAGTTCCGACTCATAGGGACCCTGTACAGGGTTTCTGAGGCTGTGAATCTTTACGGGAGCAGAACGCCTCATCTTTCTCCCGCGGAACAGCTGGTAGTTTCGAACTGCTGATCTTGCGGCTCGCAGCCCGATTCGTAACCACTACGCTACCAGAGCTCCTTAGACCTGGACCCATGATAAATTAGTAATGACCTTTCACATATGTTTTATGTCAATTATTATTTTGGGTGATGGAATTGAAAATTGTTACTAATTTTGTAATAAAGGAAGCTTTGCTTTGCCATACAGAGAAAAAAATACTCTATGATAGGACTAGAAAACATATCATTAAAAATACACATTGTGACAGTCTCTGGTACTTATTTCCCAATATCCATTTTCCCTTCTTCCTCATTGGACACACCCTAATTTAGTTCTGGTGTGGCGCTATAGGATAAGCAATAGACAGCTAACCACAAGATTGGCAGTTCAAACCCACCAGCTGCTCCTTGGAAATCCTATACAAGGTCTCTGTGAGCCAGAACCAACTCACTGGTACTTAACAACAACCATTTTGTTCAGGACTGCAAGGTGCCCATTTACAAACACTCACCTTCCTAGACTTTTGTTTACAGTATTTTTTCATATACCCTCCACATTTATTTGCTAACTGCTCCCTCCCCTCCCACCTTCGTGGATTTTCATTAGCCACTGTTATGTCAATTTTTCTATATGATGCTATTAAAAATTATTTGCATAGCACATTTACAAAAGTACCTTGCAGGAGGGGAAGAGGAAAAGTGGTTGGCAAACAAATGTTGAAAGCACTAGTTATTTGCAAATAATAAATGACAGCCACATGGCACAGCTCTCAATTAAGAGATGTGAGCAAAAGTCTACTTTTAATTTCAAAATTAGAAAAACAACAGACTAAGAAGGCGAATATTTGACTCTTACCCTTTGACCTGCCTGGGTTATGAATGCTGATTATACATGCTAACAGATATAACAAGTGGATATATTAAAAAAATGTTAATTAAGATAGTATATAAACAACTGTAACTCACAGTCATTCATCAAAACTCACACTTTCAACAGTAGTTAATAAATTAAGTCTTGCCATAAGAGTAAGAAAGTAAGAATGTTCTGGAAAGCAGTGACTATAAATTATACAGGAATAGGACTGAGATAAAAATTAACTATTGTAACATAACTCACCAAAGAAACCCAGAACTTCCCTGGTCCAGAGTAAAATCCACAGAGGATTTGACAGGGAGTTGATGGAACGAAGATTTCTGGTAACGGCTCCTCTTCCTCTGCCTGCTCTGTCTGCTCCTCCTGAAATACTTTTTCTCCTTCTTCTCCCAGCTCTTCTATTAGTTGCTTCCTCCTTTTCTCCCTTTCTTTCTCCTTCAATTCCATTTGTTTCTTTCTCTTTTCAATTTCTATAAGTCTCTTTTTTAAAAGAGACATTAGGAAGATGTAACAACACCTGTAACTTACATTCATTAATTTATACTTTGGGTGAAGCACAGTGAAAAAAGAAAAAATATATACAAAAACTCACAGCTCTAATATAACAAATACTCAGAAGTAATCATCAATTTGGGGAAGTATTTTTAACTATTAAGACGTTCAAATCGTTGGAATGGCCATCATTTCTTTTAATTCCCATTGATCCTCGCTTTATAGAACTATTTAGTCATTCTTTCTCCAAATAAAGAAGCTAAATACAGTTACTCTAAGATCTTATCGGAGTCCTGGTGTGGTGCTGTGGGTTAATGCATCAGACTGCAAAGTAATTTGAACCACAAGGTAGGCAGTTCAAGCTTACCAGCTGCTCCTTAGAAACCCTATACAGGGTCACTATGGGTCAGAATCGATTCGAAGGCACTTAACAACAACAAGATCTTATCACTGTTAGGCAAACTGAAATAATCCACAAGGAGAGTTGCTTCCAACTTTAGTAATACTAGGATTTAGGCCCTCGGCCCTCATCACCTATCCACTGTCCATTTCAAAGACTACATACACAGGCCTCCCTTCTTCATTCTATTTATCCTTCAGAATTGTCTTCTGAATATATATGATCTCATCATATTGGTGCCGCCTTCCTCAAAAACTCACAATGTTCCCAATGATCTAGGAGTTAAATTGAAACATCTTGGCGGGCATTGAAGAGCACCATGGCTAACATCTTGGCAGGCTAGACTCCTGTCACATCCCTCAACAAATTGCAGCCCTTCACTTCACTAGACCATTCTTCATTTCCTAAAGACACTGAAAGCTCTCACAACTCTGCCTTCCCTTGGCCTGCAGTGTTTTCCTCTCCCTTTCCATCCTCTCAAAATCCTTCCCAAGTTTAACACCCTGATATCATTGATGTACAGCTTTCACCTCCCCCTTTCCCATCAGAATCCTATTTCCTTTCTTTTGTACACCCCTAAGATTATTTTCTTTGAATACTGCTATTTATTTACTTCTAAAACAACAAGATTATTTGCTCCTTAAGGTCAAGGACTATATATTTTTCTTCTTTGTAATCCCCAACACACAACAGGATATTTTATATTCTAAAGAAAAAAAAAAAAAAATAGAAACTACTGCTTCAAGGATATCTCATACCAGAATCTTAGACTTGACACTTGTGAAGTGGAAACATTTTATGTTCATGTCTTTAATTTCATAGGAAACTCTATCATGATCCTCCACATCCTCCTTTATGGTTGGAGTTGGAGCTTCAAGAACATAGCCATTCTCACAGAGAATCAGCAAAGTACTGTCAGGCTTTAAAACAAAACAAAAAAGATAAACAAATACACACATACACAAAGATTATGTTTATCATTTACATTTAGGCAAATTTTTAGAAGCTTAGTTCAAAAGATTTTAAATTACAGAAAAGAAAATTGTGACATATTTTCAAAAGATATTTAATCCCTATCATTAATAAATCAAGCTAAGATTTTGCTGTATTAAAAATTAAGTTTTGTAGATACCATAACATCTTTCAGAAACAAAACTATGGTTCTAGAGTTTTTAGACAAAAAAAAAAGGAGACTGTTGAAGGTAAGATTGGAAGGTTTGTTTTCTCAGCAGTAGACATGGCATACAGAGCCCCAAATAAATGGAACTTTTCAGCTCTCATTGAACACACCAATGGCTTTCCAAAACTTGCTTCCCTCGCAACAGAAAACCTGGAGGCAGCAGCAGTTACAAGAAATGAGTAAGCAAACATATCTGGGATAGGGCTAATTGCCTGTAATTACACTCAGGATACATGACAGAGGTAGGGAAAGGCATACAAAGTAGTACCTTCATTAAATACCACCTCCAAGAGCTCTACCAACCTGTTGAAAGTCCCTGTTTCACAAACTTTTCCCAACACTCTACAAACAGCTACATCAGTGTTCCTTAGCAAGTCTGCACAGACTCAGCGTTGTTGCTGCTAGGTGCCGTTAAGTCAGTTCCAACTCATTGCAGCCCTACATACAACAGAACAAACCACTGCCCTGGCCTGTGCCAACCTCACCTCACAGTTGTTGCTATGCTGAGTCCATTGCTGCTGCTACTGTTCCAATCCACTCTATTAGGGGGTCTTCCTCTTTTTCACTGACCCTCCACTTTACCAAGCATGATACCATTCTCTAGGGACTGGCCCCACCTGCTAATATGTCCGCTGTGTGAGAGACAAAGTCTTACCATCCTGGTTTCTAAGGAGCATTCTGACTATACTTCTTCTACTACAGATTTGTTTTTTCTTATGACAGTCAATGTTACTTTTAATATTTTCCTCCAACACCATAGCTCAAATGCATCAATTCTTCTATGGTCTTCCTTATTCACTGTCCAAGTTTTGCATGCATATGAGACTATTAAAAGTACCATGGCTTGGGTCAGGCACACCTCAGTCCTCAAACTGACCGTCGTCACTCTTGAACACTTTAAAGAGGTCTTTCCAGCAGATTTGTCTAATGCAATACATTTGATTTCAATGTTTTATTTTTTCAAAAGTTTAACCCAGTTGCCAAGATTACTGCAGACAAATGATCATTTTGGATCACATTTATATACTTCAAAATTCCACACTTCCCTCTAGCTGAGATAAAGTGTCAGAACTATTTAGAAACTGTTATTAGTGATAAAATGACTCAGAGTAAAAGTACTGATGGTATTCTTCTAAACGAAGAATAATGAGAGAAATGGGGAAGCTGTAGACATAAGTTTATTGTGAAGTCTACTGAGTACGTTCTCTGACCTTCAGGTATATAAAGATCCATTTGAATTGAAATTTTTGGAAGAAGCTAGCTGCTTATATGCTGGAGAAAGTCAAAGATTAATTCAAGAAAGAAAGGTTCCAGAATATCTTAACCATGTAAGTTTGAAGAAGGAGACTGAGCAATTACATATTTAGACCACAATATACAGAAACCACTAGTTGCTTATGTGGATAAATGACTATTGGGAGAACATTGAGCAGCAATTCTACAGAAAGGGCTTGATCACTTCCTTGAAGAAAACACAGTATTTTTTCAGTTTCATATACGATTACACATAGAACATTTATCAATGGTCAGTCAGGTAAAAGGTGGTCAGTAGATACTACTGCAGCACTGAAGTGAATACATCAAGACTCTTAGAATAATAGTTATCAATCTTCAAAAAGTTAAATACATGGTGCAAGAACGCCTCAATTTTAAGAATAAAGTGGACCACATCATAAAAGTGTGCTTTCAGTAAAATGAAAATTTTATTAACTCAATGAAGGAATCATTTGAAAGGTTAATCAACAAGTGATGAAATAAGCCTGCAGAACTGATCACCAAATATGTTGATTCAAAGTTAAGAGTGGGTAATCAAGAAGCAAGAGATGAAGAACTGGAGAGAATCCTTCACAAAATTATGATATTCAAGGTAAAGATTTCTTTGAAGCATTTTATATATATAAGATTTAGCAAAAAGGCTCCTTGGGAAAAGTGCTTTGGTGGTTCCTGAAAAATCTATGTTGCCAAAATTAAAATACGAATGTGGTGCTGCTTTTACCGGCAAACTAGAAAGCATGTTCAAGGACGTGGAACTTTCAAAAGGCATCGTGCTTCATGTTAAGCAATATGTGCAGAATCAGAGTGATCCAGTCTCCATAGATCTAACAGTAGATAACCTTACAATAGGGTACAGGCCAACACACACACACCTATGGGAGTCCACTGAACATCAGGAAGTATTTAAGAGATTTTATCTCTGAAAGATCAGTCAGTGCAAACTTCAATGGCAAACTATTAATGCTGTTTTAATAGCAGAGTTCAAAGAAGGAAAGAAGGAGTTCCATGTATCCCTTTTCCAGACATTAGTGCTTCTCATGTTCAGTGCAGGGATGAAGAAATAAAACGAGACTATTGAAATAGGGAACAGTGAATTACAAAGAACATTACAGTCTCTGGTTTGTGGTAAAGCACATGTACTGATTAAAAGTACAAAAGGAAAGGAGGTAGAAGATGGAGCCAAATTAATTTTTAATGGGGAGTTCAAGCACAAGTTGTTGACAATAAACATCAATCAAATTTAGATGAAAGAACCCATTGAGGAACATGTTGTTGTTGTTAAGTGCCATTGAGTCAGTCCCGACTCAGCGACCCTGTATAAGGTTTCTAAGGAATAGCTGGTGAGCTCAAACCACGAACCTTGTGAGCAGCACCAAAATAGTGCTTCAAGACGGGATGTGCAAACCCTGGAGTTAGAAAATCACAAAAGGAAGAACATACTCAGCATTTCAGGAAGCTGAAGGAACTAAAGAAAAAATTCAAGCCTCAACTTGCCATATTGAAGGATTTTATGGACAAAGTATTGAATGATGCAGAATACATCCAAAGAAGATAGAAGGAGTTATCCAAAAAGGCTATTAAAATATGCCTTCCTTTTCTAATTATTTAATCTATGTGAGGCCAAATTTCTTTATAACAGGTAGTCCCTGACTTACAACTGGATTCGTTTCTGATGACCCTATAAGTCAGTTCCATCATAAGTCTGATACAAGATGAATACGTCATGTTTGTTGTTGTTGGTTTTCATTATTACTGGTTTTATTATCAGTATCTCTATAAATCTGATCTTTATTTGTTTTGAGAATTGGCAACATTATATATAAATGTAAAGATATATTTTAATACATAGATATATAAAACTATACAAATCAGTTTTTAAAAAATAAGCAGTTGTAAGTGTAGAGTTCAATGTAACTCAACTAAGTTAGGGACTACCAATACTTCAATCCTAACAACATACTAAAAGGAAATAATTCTTTGTTGGTTACCAGGGGTGGGAGGGAGGTGATGGTAGAGTACAGGTTAGGGGATAGTCACTTCATAGCTCAGCTCAGGTGTTGGGAAGGGCAATACACATGAATGGGGTAGGAGTGGGAGAACAAGGAAGATGGGGTACACTTAGGTAGGTTTGCATGGGCTAAATGGGACAGAGATAAATGGTGGTATATACTCAACCTTGGAACAACAGGGCTTTGTGATACAGGAATCGAAGCATAATCTGAATGGGTAAAAGAGAGGAAATAATGTTAAGATTCTTGATTGTCTTATGAATACTGGTTTTCCTTGACTGCTATTGTAAAATAGACACTTGAGTGGGATAGAAAGGAATGTCGGGAAACACGATTACAGAAAGCTTCTAAGCCAGTCTTCAGCCTATAACTGATTGTAATACCTAAAAGGGGTTCTAAAATTTGCCCAGTGAAACAGGCTTCTTGTGGAGCTTTTGTAGTGTATAGGAACTTAGGTGGAATACTGAGTCCCACCCAGAACCTTCTTAGGTAGGACGTTCCCACTTTATAAAGGACATGCAGACCAACATGGAGCGGCTAGAGAAACAGAAGATATACTTCTTAAAAGAAAGATCAGCAGAAAAACAAAACAATAAAAAAAAAACAAAAAACAGAAGACTGTTTGGCTATTACAAGAACAAGCAAGCTGTTTGCGTGGGAGCCATCAAGTCCCTTCTGGATAAACCCCCTTCCAAGACTGAAACTCAAAGGGAACACATGAGCAGGCATGTAAGCTCACTGGTGACCTCATTGGTCTACTTTTGAATGGAAGTGGGGGAAAGGCAGTAAATGAAGACATGCGCCAAGTTGAACCATGTTCCTTACACTTCTGTCGAACTTGAGTTGAAAGAACAAAAAGGAAGGGCTGGTTGGTCCGAAGTTTGGTGAGACCTGAGAACACCTGAGCTCATGGTGAACTAAAGCTGAGTGAAACGTCCAGCTAATATGATGTGGGGGGAGGCACACAAGAATGCCCAAAGTTGCAGATAGCACCCATTTGACCTAGCTTTGATGGCTTGATGATCAGAACTCTACTTGAGGAAGATAAAGAAGTTTGATACAGGAAGTAAGTATAAACTGCTATAATTTGATGAACTTGACCTTTACTTATGGATGTAGTAGCTCAAAATACCAACGGAGAGGGAAGGAGTCTTCACATTGAGGATCAAGCCTATCTCCTCAGTACACAGAGTTGATAGGGACGGGCAACTTAGACATTGGCTACCTAAAATGGGGGCAGGCTATAAAGGCAAGAAATGGCTGGTTTACAAGTTTTCAAGAGTGAATTTAGTTTCAGAGTATGTGGGGGAAGGTAGAATCCCTACTGAATAGTTTTCATCTTGTCTAGATAGGTCTGATGAAA